GGAGGGGGGGACGTGAGTGGAGGCGCACGGCTCGGAACAGGAGCAGGAGAAGGAAGCGGAGGAGGAGGAGGAGGAGGAGGAGGAGGAGGAGGAGGAGGAGGAGGAGGAGCAGCAGGACAAGGAAGGGGAGGAGCGGGGGGTGGAGTGAGGGACGCTAGGGGCGACGACGGCGGCCGCGGTTTCTTGCCTTGTCCGCGTTCCATTGTCGGCCCGCCTCGTGGTCCGAATAAGAGTCTGCTGCCTTTTCCGCCTGTGCTCACGCCCGCGCTGGAGTCGCGGTAGGACTAAATAAATTCTACCATCGTCCCCATTAGCAGCAGCGCGCCGCCATGTCTGCCATTGCCACTGCTGCCTCATTTTTTTTTGCAGCTCCCCACATCTTGATTGGGGCCCCCGCTTTCAGATGTCATCCTCAGCTCCTCTTTCTCCTCCTCCAGCACCTCCCCTTCCTCGTCGTTATCATCACCGTCGGCGCATTCTCTTTCTCTGCCCGGGAAGGCCCCGCCGGGCCGCGGCGGTCGTCGCGGGGAGGGATTCTGCGCGGATTCGGGCCGGGCGGGGAGGCCACCATTGTCTCAACCGGCTCCTTTCCCTTTTCCCCTTGCGAGAAATGACAAGTACTTAGTGGAAGGCGGCCCCACCCCCCGCTGCGCCTGGATCGTGGAGAAGAGGCTTATTGGAAGCCTCATGAGGTTTTTGGGGAGACCTCTCGGGGATGCTTCGGAAGGGCCTCTCGGCAGCCTCTCGGCGGAAGGCCTGCGGACGCCGGCGGGGCGAGGGAGCTTCCGGTGGCGGAAGACCGGCGGAAGTTGGCGGACGCAAGAATTGCACCCCAAAGATTCGTCATTTTTGGGGTGTCAAGGGTTTCGGAGACCCGCCATTTCGAACTGGTATTGTTGTCGGCGTTGCCGCGGACGATGTCCTTTGAGACCAGAGGTCACCTAGCCTCGACGGCCCAAGGACACAGCGTGCTGCCTTTTGCGTGCTGGGTCGCAACTCCCAGCCCAACCCGACGCGCCATGGCATTTTACGTTTTTGTGCGTTGGCGAGGCGAGCGCTCCTAGCCGGCCCAAGCTAGGTGAACGTCACCCAGTGGCTCGTTTGGCTGCTCATGGCGACGGAGACAGGGCGTAGGGGTGGCAAACGGGCCTTGAGGCGAGCCGTGCGTAGGACGCTGATAGTCGGGTGGTGCTGGTACCTTGGTAAATACTATGACCGCTCCACCGTGGGCTCCCTCGCTAGCGCCGACAGGGTCCAGACCATCATGCAAGAACCTAATCTCCCTGAGAGTTCTCCCACTTATTCCTCCGTGGAGGTGGCGGCACATCATGTTCGTACGCGTCGCCGTCGGCAGAGATCGACACGATTGATGAAGGTTTGGAGCTATAACGCTGAGTCGCTCCGGGTCAAAGATCGGCTGGCATCGCTGTTGAGACTGGCCAGATGTGCAAATGTCGCCATATGTTGTTTCCAGAGCACGTTGATGGAGCTTGACGTTCCTTGGTTCAGCGAGGGTTTCCATGTTATCCCGACTTGCCGAACAGCGCCGCGAGCCAAAGATGGATGTCTCATTGCATACAATATGAAGGTGTTCTCTAAGCAGGAACTTAGGTGCACGCACGTCTGGCTTCCAGGACGCCTTCACGGGATTCGGCTTCGGCGGGGAGGCTGCCGGGACCGGGACCTGTACATTCTAAACGGGTACGCCCCGACGAACGACCCGCCAAAGGTACCCCAAGGCCAAGATACTGCCCCAGTTTACCAGGCTCACACCCAGGCCCAGGACACCTTTTGGAACCAGTGCGAGCGGGCGATCCAGCAGATTCCGCAGCGCACGGCCCTCATCATCACTCTCGATGCCAACGCCACTGTTCGCCCTCATCTTCCTCATATCGGGGAGGCGGGTAGCAAGCGCGGGGGTCCTCCGACGAATCGCAACGGCCATAAGTTCATCGATTTTTTGGAGATGTACGGGTTGAAAGCGTTGAATACTTTCGGTTGTCGGTCTCGCTTTAACGGCACATGGAAGCATACGGTGGGGAGTGGGTGGAGTACCATAGACTATATATGCACACGCTTACAAGGGTCATACGGGTTTAAGGCGTATCCTCTACGTACTCTTCCTGTTAATCTCGGAGGTTATCGTGACCACCGTCCAGTAGAAGCATACATCTACACGGGCCCTCGAGTGAAAAAGTCCCCTCCCCCGAAGTACATCCGCTGGAACAGGGATGAGCTGGTCAAGGACCTTTCCATGCTTCGTTCGCTACCCCCAGATGGACCACTTCCCCCTAGGATTGCTGAACTCCGTGCTAAAGTTTCTGACGAACTCGCGGATAGGGGTCTTCACGGCGACTGGGAATCGGAATGCGGACCCCAATGTCGTTTTCCCGACGCTTCCTCGTATTTCAATGCGGTGGAAGGCGCAGTTATTGAGGCAGCGGCCCCGCTGTACACCACTGCGCCTGCAACTGTCCAGAAGCCGGCCCTGAGCGATCCGACACTCCAGCTGATTCAGAACAAGCACTTTCTCCAACGACAGCTTGCTAATGTGGATTCTTCGGCCCCCTGGCTTTACACAAATGTTCTTGCCCAGTTCAAGGTTGCAGCACGGGCGGCGGCCCGAGCTGTTCGGACAGAGCACCGCCAGCGCACGGCGGCGATTGCGGCGGAAGCGGAAGCCGCGGATGCTGTCGGCAACCTCCGTCGTACCCATGCCATTGTCCGTCGTCTGGCACCCAAGGCTGCAGCACCCATGGTAACCGTGCATAATCCAGAAAGTGGTTTTGAGTGCTTCGATGACCAGGAGGAGATGGAGGTTCGTGCGAGGGCTCTTGGGGATATCTTTGGAGCTACGGTTCTTCCTTTGAATGCCCCGGTGGACCCCCAAACCGTTCCCGCTCCAGGCGCGCATAGAATCGGAAACTATACTGCCGAGGACATCGGCAAGGCCATCGATCGCATGCCGAATTACAAGTCCGCCCCAGTCTTGAAGTGGTCGCCATTCCAGCCGCCCGACGACCCCCCTGAAGGAGCTGTTGCTGAAGTCTGGAAACTATGTCGCCCTGTAGTTCTAAAGCCTCTTCATGGTGTCTTTCATGCCTGTCAGGCCTACGGTCGTTCCGCACAACGTTTCAAGGATGGGGAAACGGTCAGCCTTCGCAAGCCAAAGGGTGACGGTCGTAATGCGCGCGACCATTATCGCACCATTAACCTGATTGGGCACATGGGGAAAGTCTATATGAACGTCACTGCCATGCCCGCCCTACGTGCCCTAGCACCCCAAATCTCGGCCACCCAGTTTGGAGCACTACAGGGACGGGCTACACGGGACGCCGTTGCACTGGTGGGGGAAGTCCTTCGACGATATCGTATTTGCCATTTACGTTCCAGATCTGCGGGCCGGGAGACGCCAGGTATATTGGTGGCTGCTTTGATTGATCTCGAGAAAGCCTTTGATCTAGTCGACCGGGCCGACATCTGGGCAGCGTTGCGCCGTCTTGCCCTTTCCCAGGATGTTTTGTTGACAGTAGAGGAGCTACACGACGGCACGTGCTACATAGCCAGGGACGTCAGAACGAACCGGCCTGCACGCAAGCTTCTAGTCCCTCGCGGTGTCCGTCAGGGGTCCGTCGAGGGCCCCGCGCTCTTCATCGCCGTATACGACATGCTTACAGGGGGGTTAGCGCAACACCAACGGGAATCTGAGTTCGCTTGCGTCGATGTCGTCTTCGACCCTTCCCTCCGGAAGCTGCGGCATATCGATGTATTGTCTCCTGGCGATTATGATCACATTGATCTCACACATGTTAAGTTCGTCGACGATTTGTTAGCTTTCACGATCGTGCCGGACTTCAGCAAGGTAAGTGGGTTTCTGGATTTTCTTCGAAACGAAATTTCGGCAGGTAACATGAAGGTCAACGGGGACAAAACGGAGCTTTTGCTGGTTTTCTCTGGGAAGGACAGTAAGCAGCGGCAGAAAAGCATCAAGGCTAAGTCCACCGGAGTGACCATGTCGTCTTCTTCGGGGCCTGTGCACATACATGCTTCCGCATCTGTTCGGTACTTGGGTGTTCGTCTTCGTGCTGACGGTAGTTACTCAGAAGAGGTACGCCACCGAGTGCAGGCAGCCACGGCGGCATATGCACGCCTCCAAACCCGAGCGTTCAAGGGACATTTCAGCCGACATCTCCGGATACGTCTGTGGACCTCCTTGGTGCGATCAACTGCGTTGTATGCTCTCGAGGTTGCACCTTTGTCTGCTGGCGATTTGAAAAAGCTGGAAAGATGGCAAAACCGGTGTTTGCGTTCACTTTTGAAGTCGCCTTCGCATGTGTACAAAAAGTCAAATAGCGAGATTCGCCAACAGGCTAAGATGCCCACGGTTGTTTCTACTCTGCTGGAGCGTCGCCTCCGATGGTGGCAACATGTCCTTCGCCCTGCATTTCGAGTCGCTGCCGATGGAGACGTCGACGATTACGACCCTACTCGAGCTGTCCGTGCCGCCGTGTTTGGTCGTTTTTCGTTTGAGCCCGAAGGACGTCGCGAATGCACCTCACTACTCCATCTTCTAGCCCAGGATATTGACAAGCTTTGGCAGGTCCTTGGAGGGGCCCACCGTGCCCAGGCCATCCAGGACTACCACCTCCCTGCTACTGGACCCCGCGTGGACGCTGAAGGTTTCAAGTGGCTCCTGAAGGTCCCTGTGAACCTCAGCCGAAAAGTCCGGTCATTTAGTACTGAGTTTGAGCTACAACAAGCCCGAGGTGACGCCCGTGATGTTGAGCTCCTCCCTTGTCCTGAATGCGGTCGTCTTTGCAAAGGTCCCAAAGGTCTTGATAATCACCGCTTTCGCGTGCACCACGTCGTAGCGAACCCTACCGAGTTTTCCTTGGAAACGGTTCTAGCAAAGCAATGTCCCAGGTGCCAGAAGGAGTTCACCCGCAAGGATAGTCTCGTGAAACACGTTCGACTTGGGCGGTGTCGTGCGCTTCGCCCTGATGCAGCACCAGCCTTTGGGGTTCAGGGCTTGCCTCCCCCTCCGCCTCCAGGCCTGCCTCCGCCTGCGGAGCGTTACGGCGATGTCGATGTTCGCGCCGATCGAGGAGATGACCAAAGGTGCCAAGCGTCCGGCAGAGGAGGGAAGGGCCAAGGGGGGCGAGGAGGCGGCCGCCGACAGTCAGGGCGGGGGCGCGGAGACACGTCGCCTCACGCTCCTCATGGCCAAGTTGCTCTTGCAACACGAGGACAAGAATCGCGGGGACGCGAGGGGCGACAACTTCACGGTCACGCTGCTGCAGGACAGCCCGCTGCAGCGCGCTCTCGCAGCCGGCGTGGACCGCTACCAGGCCGCGAACAAGAAGGCTCAGGAGGACGCGGGCGACGGCGAGTTCAAGGGGAACCCGCTGGGCAAGCGCCCCGACGTGTACGCCAAGCAGCTCATCTTTCGCCTCCACGAGGCCGCGAAGGCAGCCGGCGCGAAGGTGACCGACGCGGCGAAGCAGGGCACGATGGCGGAGGAGACCCTCCAGGCCCTCGACACTCTCTCGAAGTACGCGACGCTGGTCCAGGACCCGGGCTTCCGCTTCACCGCGACCCGCTGCTTCAGCGTCGACTTGACGAACCAGGACGACGCGGACGAGGAGGACAAGCCGAGCGTGCGCTGGGTGTTCGCCGTGAACCACCACGTGGATCTCAAGGCAGCGCTGATGACGCTGCGCCTGAACGGGTGCTTGCAAGCCTGCCACGTCAACTTGGGCTTCGACCACGCCCCCCGCTGCAGGACGGCGAAGGCAATCGAGAAAATCGCATTCAAAAAGGGCACGGCGCAGCACAAGGGCAAGAAGAAAGCCAAGAAGCAGTAGGCCCAGCCAGCGTCGTAACGGCAGGCGCTCTCTTTTCCAGCCCGGCCAGCGTCGTAACGGCAGGCCCGGCCAGTGTCGTAACGGCAGGCTCTCCTCCTTCCTGCAGCCCGGCCAGCGTCGTAACGGCATCGCCCTTTCCTAGGGGGTCCTCCCAGCTCCCACTCTCTCACTTCTTTCAGCCCGCTCGCCCTGCTCAGAGTCGCTCCACGCACGGACCGATGATTCGAGGCGAGGGCACGAGTTCGAGTTAGGTTATTGCCGCAGGTCTTAACTTTTTATGCGTAGGTAGCCCCTCCCACTCTCCTAGGGGGGAGGGCGGGGGGCTGTCCCTACAGTGCTGCTCTCACAGAGGTGGGAGCACGTAGGGGTGGCACGTTGGAGATGGAGATGGGGCTGGTCCGCCTCTTCCGTCCCCGGCAGTCCCCGCACGTGCTTCCTCTTGGCCCCCCGACGGGATCTTACGTGCTTCCGTCGCGCCGGTGTCGGTCGACTTTTTAGCGAGGCCCACCACGAGACGCCCTGTTGCTGAGACTTGCGGGCGTAGTGTTCGAAAGGACGCAAGAATTGCACCCCAAAGATTCGTCATTTTTGGGGTGTCAAGGGTTTCGGAGACCCGCCATTTCGAACTGGTATTGTTGTCGGCGTTGCCGCGGACGATGTCCTTTGAGACCAGAGGTCACCTAGCCAACAACGGCCGCTGTCGGTTTTGGAAAGCAGCTGCTTTTGGCAAGGCACCAATTTGTTTGTTATGCCCATCTCGGGCTTGCCAACTCTCGCCCCCAATCCGCCAGCTCCCGCAAAAAAGCTGGCTATTCAGAAAAAATACATTCCGGGATGCCCCCCCAGCAGGGGGCTAGCCAGACGCACCCTGGTCGAGGATGGACTCACCTCCGATTTGAATCCAAGATTGGTGGTCCAGTCGGAAACCTCACAAAGTCGGGGATTCAGGGTCGCCCTACCCCGCGTTAGAGGAGGAGGTGGCAGAACGATTGGAAAAAAACAAACAGTATACTGAAGCCCATTCCCAAGGCAGCAACGATCGGAGTGTGGTCGTTCTGGTCTGCCGTATGCCAGGGGGAGCACGGAGGAGGATCGCCCAAGTCCCCTGCGCGGGATCCGAAAGCAGAGGGGGTCGGAATGTCTCGCCGCTTCGCCAGATACGTCGGCGATGCGGCTTGATCCGTCGGCCGGGGGTAGGACGAGCGTTCTGAAACGCTCTGAGACGGCCGCGGCTCCCGATACATCCCTTAGAACCGCCGGATCTCAGAGATTCCCGATGTATCTTCACCCGAATTTATCCTCGTCCTGGTTTCGTATTAGTTTCGAGCCCGATGCACCAGTCCAATATGTGTTCTTGTGCCCCATTGGGGCGGCTTCCAGCGGAGGAATGTGGCTGCGCCTGTAATGTTACTGTGCGTACCTGCCCGAGGCTCTTCAGACCAAAACCTGCGCCCGGCATGGCCGCGGTGCCTGTCGACTATTGTTGCACAGTCCTATATGCTGTCAGTTACGCAAGTTGTCATTACTGTGCAAGGCTGCCGGGGACATATTAATGTCCTGCCAAGGACAGATCAATGTCAAAGCAAGAAGCTCGGAGGAGAGAAGGTGGAGGAGGAGGGGGGGGACGAGGAGGGAGCAGGATGAGCAGGGCAAGAGGAGGGGGAGGGGATTCTGGGGGCCACGGCTCGTGGGGCCGAGGAAATTCTCAGCTAACATGTTATAGTTTGAGCGGGGCGAGCGACTTGCCAGGTTTCCGCCCAGCTTCCCCAGTGAACGCGCCTTTGTAATTAACAACACTTGTCGCGCCTGCTCGCGCATCGCACGCAGTTGCCGTGCCCGCTGGCACCGCTGCCCCCTGACGGGGCGCCCAGGCGTACCCCAGGAGCAAGCGTGCCCCGGAGAGGGGCTCCTCGGGGGGGGGGGGCAGGCCTCTGCGCGCGCCGCGGCTTGGAGAGCAGTAGCCTCTTCGAAGCTTCTTTTGGGGACGCAGCCAAAGAGGATCAGAAGGATGAGTAGCACGTCGTCGTTTTCTTGCTCATTGTTTTGCCGATCGGCGCAGGCCCTCGCACCCCCCCTCTCCTTCCCCAGCGAGTAGATCTTGGCTGTTTTTGGCGCCTGTTTGGAGATCCTGAGCCCTCCCCTCCCCTCCTCCGCCCCCGTCCGCCAATTGTCGAAACGCCGAACGAGAAAACGCTCACCACTCCACAGGCACCCCTGCATCCTGGCCTCTCGGTCCACCCTGGCCCTTAGAGCCGTGAGCCAGGGACCTCCGCCCTCGGCTTCTACTTGGGCGTCCGAGGGCCCTCTTGCATCCTCACCGCGCGTCCTGATGCTCCAGTCGCGTCGCACGTCATCCCAGGGCTGGACCTGAGCGGTGTCTTGGCGATCTCGTGGGCCGTTTTCGTTTCGGAGTCGCTGCGTCCAGGAGTGGGTGCCCGTCGGCGTCGCCGAGTGCTGCCAGAAACGTTTGAGCCGTTGGAAAATTGAGCCAGCGCTATGTCTTACCCTGTCGCGCGGGGCTCGCCAGGGGAATGTGGTGTGCCTCCGATGAACGGTGTGCGGGGCTGTTTTTGCCGGTAACTGGAAGTGGCCAGCAGTCCCAGAGAATCCCCAATTCCCGCGTGGCTTTCACGCCCCAGTTCTTGCATCTAGCAGCTGCGAGCAAAACCGGTGGTTCTCTGCGACGCCGCAAGTCGTACCTGCTCGGCTTCCTGGCTCGTGGCGGAATGAGTTCAACCGCGTTCGCGGTGATCTACCAAACCATGTGGCCAGCGTCTTTGCGCGACACAATGTACTGGCACAGGGCGCACCTGCTGCAAATGTTCGAGATCTACACGATCGCATTCGCTTGTATTTTGATGTTTGCAGAGAGCGGGCTGGACGCGCGCACTTTTGCGTGGTGCCTGCGGCCGCACCACCAAGGCTCCGACTTTGCATCGTTACTCTGCCAGGCGAAGAAGGCTTTCTCTATATATCGTCAGCCTCTCACGCTTGCTGGCTTTTCCGCCGCGTGCGGGCACTCATCGTCGACGGCAAGTGGTGCATTCAGACCAGCATACGCAACGCCCGTGACTGCAATCCCGTGTTCTCCGCGGAGATCAGGGAGGGGTACTTCAAGGGATGCGTGGAGCGGCCGGCTTCTGGCAGTCTTTACTGCAAGAAACATGAATATGCTCGCGGGCACCGACGACGGTCTCAGCAACCCCAGGAAGGACGCGTGGAGGAACGCTGGAAAATTGTTCGACTAGATGGGGTGTTCCTGGAATGCAAGGCGCAGGGGAAGTGGTTGCAACGGGATGCCGTGGTCACGGACGACGTCCGGCAGCGCGAGATGCGGCTGCTCAGGCGGCCGAGACAGACGAAACCGCAGGACGAGTGCAAGAAGGATGATAGGAAGGATGTCGACGAGCTGCTGGTTGGCCGCAAATCCGCGGGCATCTTTGTGGCCGTGACGCCGTGCCTGCAGATTGCGGCTGTTGCGCCGACGTGGGCATCTGAGAGCATCTCAGTTCCTGTTGTTCTTGTTGGCCATCCGGGAGCTCTTCCTCGACCTGGCGTACGCGATCTACGACAACGCTTGCGCGGTTGCGCGGCGCCTTCGGAAGCAGCAGCGCGAGAGCCCCCCAGGTGATCCCGACGCGCTTGGCTGGAGGTGGCTACTGGGCTTACTGTGGAGAATCGACCGATTGGATTTTACTTATCATAGGAGCTGCCGCGACAAGGCGAGCCCGCACTTCGCCCCAGGCGTCGACGCCAATGACTACCCTTCGCTTGCGGGCGTGGACACAGAGGCGGCGGAACAATTGTTCCGCGTCGCCAATCGCTGGCAGGTCGTCTTGTCTGGTGCGCACCCAGTGCACGAGGAGCTGCTGCTCTTGATTTTCGCGCGAGACCACAACAGAGGGCAGTCCTGTTACCGCGCTATCATGACGCACCGTTCCGCCCAAGCCGCGCCGGCCGATCGCAGCAGCAGGCCGAGTTCATCGGCCGACGGGGGGCCCCAGCTCGCGGCAGCGTGTGCAGGGGAATGCGAGTGCAACCTCCCAGACAGAACATGCGAGCCAGTAGAAGAGGCGGACAAAGGTCCGGATCTCATGCGAGGTTCCTGAGCCGCCGCCGCCTGAACCAGCCCGGGAAGAAGAGGGGGGCCGCAGCGTTGCGCCCGCAGAAGCGCCCCGCGATTCCGCCCCGCCCATGCGGAAGCAGGAGCTACAAAGCACTTACGTGTGGGTCAAGGTCCGCAGCAAAACCGTGCACCACGCAGTTCTGCGGAACTCTGTCTCAGCCGGGTGCGGCTACTTCTTTGGCCAGGATGCTAAACCCCGCCGGTCAGACAGGGCCGACGTGCACGGAATGTTTGCGTGCGGCAGCTGCTACGGGTTGCGGGCCTGCATAGTTCTTGATGGCGCTTGACGGGGGGCCTCTGTTCGCCCGCGCGGTCGAGGCGGCCGGGTCGAAGATGAGCGTGGCCGGGGGGGGCTTGCGCGCTGGCGCTGCGTTCCCCCACTGCGTTTTTCTTATGGTGGCGCGCGCTCTGAAGTGGAAGTGCGCCGCGGGGCTGCAAGGCTCCCAGCGACAGAGAAGTTCCTTTCGGTCCGCCTAGAAGACGTTCCCCCTGGTCCCATTTTGCTCGAGGCCGCTTGTCTCGGGCACCGCCGCTCCGTTGTTACCTCGGCTTGTTTGGGGCGCTGTCTCGCGAAGAAAAAGCACAACCCAGCGTCGCAGGATGAGGGCGAGGGCAATGATGAGGAGGAGAAGGCGGAGTAGGAGGAGGAGGAGGAGGAGGAGGAGGAGGAGGAGGAGGAGGAGGAGGAGGAGGAGGAGGAGGAAAACGGGGGAGGAGGAGGGGGAGGGGAAGGAAACCATTCCCGCTCTCCCACCATGCCGCTGATGGGTGGTGGGGAGGAGGGGGAGGAAGAGGAGGAAAATGAAGAGGAGGAGGACCAGGAAGAACCCAGGATGCATCAGCGATGCTGCTATACACCCTCCCGTCCCATGTCTCTTCTTCATAACTCCACGCACGTGTTCCCTTCGCACCTGGACCCGCGCCCTCGAAAAAGGGGCGCCCCATTGGCCTGAGAGGCACCGCGTGGGCCTGACATTGATGAAAACATGTGCGCGCACAGAAATGTCACGTTGCAGGTTCTTGGCTGATCCAACCAGTGCATTTTCACATCAGTTGACATTTTATCTCTTCTAAATGTGTGAACACCACGAAAGAGCGCGCCTGTGGTCGCTTGGAGGGGGGGGGTGTTTGGAACCGGACCCCCCCCCTGGATGGGAGGGGGGGGTTCGGTTCCAAACCTCCCCCCCCTGGGAGGGGAGGGGGAGGGGGGGGGTTGGGGGGGAAGGAAATCCCCCTGGTTTTGATCGACGGCGCCGAGGGTGGAGGGGGGGCTTACCCCCCGGTTCGAAACGCGCCGCCGAATGCTCCCAAGGCAAGCACCCGTGAAACGCGTTCTCTCATACCTACATACTACATACCTACACACCTATATACAGACATACGTACACACGTACATACATCCATACATTCATACATGCATACATACATATATTCATGCATGCATACACACATACATAGATATACACGTACATGCATCCATATATGCATCCATGAATGCACGCATGCGTGCATACATGCATACGTGCGTACATACATACCTGCATCCATGCATACATACAAACATGCATACGTGCATATATGATCGCGGGCTTAGGGCCCACGGGCCCCCCCCCGAGCAGATGGGATGGGTCCCAGGGTCCTCGGGCGCCCCCCCCCCCCCAGATGGCATGGGGGGGAGGAGGAGGAGGAGGAGGAGGAGGAGGAGGAGGAGGAGGAGGAGGGAGGAGGAGGAGGAGGAGAGGAGGAGGAGAGGAGGAGGAGGAGGAGGAGGACGACGACGGCTACGACGACGACGACGACGACGAAGACACCGTCCGCTCCGGCTCCCTGAAGCACTGGAACACAACGCCACACCCAGAAGGAGGCGACGACGGTGAAGACACCGTCGACGACGATATTTTTTTTCCTCCTCCCCCCATCCGCCTCTCCATCCCTGGGACGACGACGACGACGACGTCGACGACGACGACGACGACCACGACGACACGACGGCGGCGGCGGCGCCAGCGACGCCGACTCTTGGCTGAGGCGGACCCCTAACCACCGCACACCCACAGGGGGAACCCCACACCACTCCCACAAGGGGGGGGTCACCACCCTTCGCCCACGCCCACAGGGGGGGCGCCATCGCGAGGGGGGGGGGGCCCGATGGCATTAGCATGGGGGGGGGGCCCAAACCCTCGACCATATATGTATGCATGCCTACATACTACCTATCTGCACACTTACATACAGACACACAGACAAACAGGCAGACGACAGACAGACAGACAGACAGACAGACAGACAGACAGAGACAGACAGACAGACAGACAGACAGACAGACAGACATGCATACATGCATACATGCATACATGCATACATGCATACATGCATACATGCAGACATGCATACATGCATGCATGCATGCATACATGCATGCATGCATGCATGCATGCATGAATACCTACCTACCTACCTACCTACCTACCTACCTACCTACCTACCTACCTACGTACGTACGTACGTACGTACGTACGTACGTACGTACGTACGTACGTACGTACGTACACACATCCATACATACGTACATGCATGAATGCGTGCATGCATACACATACACATACACATACACATACACATACACATACACATACACATACACATACACATACACATACACATACACATACACATGCACATACACATACACATGCACATACACATACACATGCACATACACATACACATACACATACACATACACACACATACACACACATACACATGCACATGCACATGCACATGCACATGCACATGCACATGCACATGCACATGCACATGCACATGCACATACACATGCACATACGCATACGCATACGCATACGCATACGCATACGCATACGCATACGCATGCATGTGTGTGTGTATATAAGTACGTACATGGGAGATCCCAGCCCAAGGACCCTGGGCCAGGATCTCCCCTGTATGGCGGTCCCCCCCGCCCTGGGGCGCGCTCCGGGCTGCCCTCCGAGGCCCCGATACGGCTCAAGATCACCCCCACGGCGTCCAAGCCAGCCTCCGGGCGCCCGGGGGGCTATCAAGACGCTCCCAGCCTGCCCCAAGAGCGCTCCAAGACGGTCGCTCGTGACATCCCGACGGCCCACGAGACGCCCCAAGAGCCCCAGGAGGCTCCCCAAGACAGCTTCGCGAGCCCCAAATCGTCCGGTTCCCCCGGGGAAACGTGCATTTTTACCAAGTTCACTTCTTCAGTCTTCGCCGCGTCGAAGACAGCCCAAGAGACCCCCAAAGTCGCCCCGGGACGGCCCAAGAGGGCTCCAAGGAGGTCCCAAAACGGCCGAAGACAGCCCAAGATGGCCCCAAGACTGCCCAAGAGGCCCCTGAGACAGCCCAGGAGGGCCGTAAGAAAGGCCCACGACGGGGAACCCGAGCTGAGATTTCGAGCCCTCCACCTCACGATGACCGCCGAGGCCGCCGAGAGGCCCCCCAGAGGCCCCCAGGAGACCCAAAACAGGCCCCCGGAGGCTCCTCAAGACAGCCTCGGCCCAAATCGTCCAATTCCCCCTGGGAAATGTATATCCTCACCACACTCACTTCTTCAGTCTTCGTCCCGTCGAAGACAGCCCAAGAGACCCCCAAAGAGAGGAGGTCCCGAGACGGCCCAAGATGGCCCCAAAGCTGCTTTGGCTCAAAGACGTTGTATCTGCTGATATCTGTCGAGCAGCGTTCGCTTAGGAGCGTCTCGTGGTCAGGTCGATCAATTCCACTAATGGCTCCCTCTGCGTCAAGCGTTTCGTGCGGTTCCTCCGCCGCCTCTTCGGACGAAAGGAAGCAATGGCACGGTTACACAGTCGAGTGCAAGGCGACGTTCCTTCACGTCGTGGACGAGGCCGATTTGCTCTTGCGGCAGCGGCGGCTTCCACGCTC